GTGTTTGCTCCCTTGCAATTCGCCACGACGGGTTACTAGTAGTATAGGGGGAATGCGCAACGGCGTCGGATATGGATTAGTTTCATTGACATTGGCGCGCACGTCAATGCTCCCTATCTCAATTGTAGAGTTCGTCTTAATATTGAACGCACCTCTTGACTCGCAACGTTGATTGTGCAACGACTTCTCGCATAGCTCCTCAAATGAACAGAATAATTGATATTAAATAGGTTGGTACAATAAGCTCAGAAGGAACCGATTTTTTCCGTGTATTTTTAGGAATATTCATCGCTTAACATTCGTCGACATCGCCGACAACAGCGTCGACAACGCGTCGGGCAACGTCGAGCACAGCGACAACAGGGGTACGGCAGTATCCGGGACGTTCCCACGGCCCCTTGCCCGTTGCTCTCATCGGGATTCGAACTCACGGCGTGCCCTCAGCCAAACGCAAGTGCGAAGTGCAAATGCAAAATAGACCTGACACTCCTGGTCAACCGTACGAGGTTCGTTTGAACTTGCCCTTACGAGTCGACAATTTAACTTGTCGTCGAGTCCATTCCACTTACAGTCAACGTGGTAATGACAAGGCCTCACTTCCGACGGTCAACTACACCGCAGGGGGTAACTATAGGTTCAGCGCAACATCCCTAAGCAGAAGAATTCACTCTGAATGCGTGCAGAGGGGCTCGTTGTGTGGGAGATATATAGGAATAGAAGCCAGTAGCTCAGTGCCCAAAGCATGGACCGTTGAAGGGGCTGCTTGCTCCAGCGAAGCTTCCGCCGTCGAGCCTGTGACCTCCGCTGGGCAATCTGCGCAGCACATCCTTCCTTGGCACTCATAGGTCGCTTTGTGTAGCAACGCACAAGAGCACCAGGGTCGGTGGCCTCACGGATGCGCCATCGTCAGTGCACCTGGTGGGACAGTCTGGCGCGGGCTGGGGGTGCAGAAGAGATGGCGATATGGTGCTTACTGGGCATCCTGGTGTAGGAGGGTGCATTGTGCTGGCACAAGGCGTCAGGGCGAGTCTATTTAAATGGCAGACTGGGCGGAGTTACTGGTAGGTCTCACGAAGCGCGTTGATTACTCACGTGAGTTGGTCACGTGTCGCGCGTTGGCCTGTGAATATCGTTGACCGACGTACGCTACTACGTCTATGGGCTATGGTTGGGTGCGGGCTCATGAAATTCAGACCTGCAGATCATGCGCGTGCTCAGCATGCGCGACTTAGCAGAACTTCGGCGTGTTGCGCTGTTCTCTGCCAGGCACTCCTGCGACGACTGCAGTGATAGCTCATTACTCTCCGGACCGCTTGTACGACAAGTAGGTTCGCAGACTGGTCTGAAGGTGTGAACCGCGAGCTGATGTTAAGGGCAGCGGTGCGGTGCGTGTGTTCTTTGTGAGTCCAACTTGGTCTATCATCGCGCCTCATCTTAGCAACCTAATTGCCCGATGTCGTTCCCCAAGCTTCAATGCAGTGCTTTCCAGCTGCATCCAGCATCGTATGACCAACTCCCCTCGCGCAGGCGTGTTGTAAGTCCCTCCCACCGCACTCTACTCTCCTCCCTCATCCTACCCCTCATCCCACGCAGGCACCTCCCCGACATCACGGTCATCAGGCCCGCCTTCCACCCGTCCTCGAAGGACATCATCCTCTTCAACGCCTCGCGCGGGCACCGCATGGACATCAGCGAAATCCTCCCGGGCTTGAGGCCGCCAATCTCGGCCAGCCTGTTCGAGGAGGGTACGGAGATCGTGTCGTTCCAAATCGTCGGGGACGGCGTTTTTGAGTGCTGTAAGTAATTGAGCCATTCATCCGTTCTTGCAGGGCGCTGACTTTCCATCAGTCATGGACGAGTATGGCCTCGAGACCACCCAGGTGCTGCAGCTGCCTCCGAGTCACCACCGCTGGTATAGTGATGCGCACTGCGCTCCCGACCTTGCGTGGGCCGAACGCGAGCTGCTTGCCCGAGTGGGTCTCAGGTCTGATGTTCAATGTCGGCCATGGTCTGCCGGATGTGATGTCCTGCTCTTGGCTCGAAGAGCGCTGTCTCAATCATCACAGAGAGCCGTAGCTTTCTCGAAAGCTGCATGCATACTACCCTCATAGTCTATGTAGACGAATCTCCGAACTGTTACGACTTGTTGCCACATATACTATCACAAGCAGTCGTTATATATGCCTTTGGTGGCCTATCCCGTTAACAAAGGTCTTGATCGCCAGTGCATATCTAATCGGATCTAAGACTCTGGCGACTCAACTTCCACGGTCACAAACATCCCTCAAGCTAGCTTCATAAGTTAACTGGAAGTAAACTTCATAAGCTAACTTAACCATCAAGTTAAAAGTTGTGTTGTCACAGGTTCGTGCTTGCTACCGGCATGGCTCAAGTACGCATCTCAAGCTAGCTTGTGTGGTTGCTATGGGTCAATGAAAGTTAACTTGCGTGTTGGCTATGAATCAAGGCCAACAGCTTGAAGTTCTGCCTGCAGAAAAGGTACGATGAATAGTATCTCAGCTCAGGCATCCATTAGACGAGTGTTGAGTCTGGCTCTTGCAGGGGCTGAATCCGATCACAACGCATTTCAGAAGCTCGCCACGTGTGGTGCTGTGTGTCCTTGTGGGCGCACATGAGCACACAAACGACCCCTCGCCAACAATCCACCGCCTGTGACAATGACGGCCATCGACACTATCAGGCATAATAACATTCACAGTTTACGGTGTGCTCTGTCTTCAAGCCTGTATGATTTGACCAAACTGTTGCGTCTTCCGTTAGCTGAGGCCAATGATACGAAAGAACCCTATCCACTTCCACTGCATGATCACCGGCGAAGATGAGTCAATATAAGCAGCTGGGAGGCCAAGGCAATAAGTAAGACCTTATACAAGATCGATCATGGTTGGCTTGTACATTCAAGATTTGCTTCCGTTTCCACGTGGTACGATGCTGGGCGGTATGTCGCACACCGTCACAAATTTAACTGCTTTTTCTAAGGTCTCGGATGTTCAGCAGGCTTCGGACATGGCTTGGGCTTTCTGCCAATGTGGGACCTGACCAGCAACCTAGTTTGCAGAGGGGGCAAGTGCCACTGCCTCCCTGGAATGGCGCATACAACCCCTATCAACAAGTGGCCATTTGGCCACCGAGTGCAACGGCATACCATCCCTACTATCAAGGCCCTGGCCCGGGATATCCTCCCTCTGTAGGAGGTATGTCTAGTTCTCTTCTGCACTGCTAGGTCTTTACCATAGATCAACATCTAGGGCAGCAGTTCCCACCCTTCGTCCATTACCCCTTTCCCCATCCATCAACCCAGGCTATCTCGTATCCACCCCACACTCCCAACGGTCCGCCAACTGAGGCGCAGCGGCATTCCATGCCTGATGGTCTTGGACGTCCTTTGTACGGTCCACAACAACCACCCGACATTCTTGCACGACCTCCATACCATCAGATATTACCAGAACCTCCAATCCCGATAGCTGCACGTGCTCCTGGTAAAGAGATGGCCGAGGCACCTACGAAAGAAGGTCAGGCTCTTACAGCGAAAGCGATGGTCCCCGAGGTTGAAGAGAGTATGGCAACACGCATAGAAAGTAGGCAGGATTCAGTCTGTTTGTTGGAAGTGTATTGATGCCATGATAAATCCAGAGCATGATTGGCCAACAGGGGATGTGGACCGCGAAGTGCTCTTGGACGAGCAACCAAAGGGATGGAAAGGCGGGAAGTGGGTGTGGAGGTCTCAGGGGAACACGAACCATGAAGGCCGCTTTGCAGAGCAGCGAGTGTGCTTTGGGGTAATCGTATGCCGAGGCTGCCAGCGGCCAACTCGCCCTCGAACGCAGAAAGATGCTAGAATCAAGCAGCTTGATGCGGCCTGTCATGGATGCGGGAAGTATGCCCTTGAGCATGTCCAATGCAGTGCTGTGGCATTTCATTTCACGAGAAGTGACCCAGATGGGACTAATTGGGCAGTCTGGCATCACCGTGGTAAGCATAAACACGTACGACCGCCTGGGGGACCGATCAGTACCCTTGAAGAACAGGCAATAGATCACCAGGTCCAGCGACGTCCTGATGCCAGTGCACACCAGCTACGAACAGGGGATGATACCCCAGGCTCTCAGGCACTTCACACCATCAATCCCGCCCTTGCCAATCCCCGTGCGGCTCGATATCGTGTTGCCTCGAGCCGTGACCGCCTGGGAGTGCATCCGCAAAGTTCTAGAGGTGGCTTCACATTCCTGAGCGCTGTCAGGGATCTCTGCAAGAAGTTCAATGAGCCGTTCCTTATCGACTCAAGCCTTGGAGAGGTAACCTACTTCGTGCTACAGCATCCCTTCATGGACAAAATGCTGAAGGAAGCAGTTATCAACTGGCTGGACGATACAGAGGGTCATAGTCCTGACGCTGGAAGGCATGGATTTGTCACGGACGGAGACAATTCGTTCTTCCGGTCTGGTGTGCTTCTCACAACATGCGCATGGAATCCACTTATGAATGGATGGGTGCCGGTATTGTACTGCTGGATCCTCAACCTCGACATCTTCCATCACAGGCAGCTCTTCCGCCACCTGAACAGCAGTATTGTGAAACACGCAGGTCACCGTTTCACAAAAAAGTTGCTCAGTGCGGTACGCTTCTTTATCTTATCTTATCTGTCAATTATTGAACTGTGATTAATCCTTCGGGAATCCCGGCAGGTCATGGATTTCTCAACATCGCAACGGGGTGCACACGCACATGAATATGTCAACACAATGACTGGTCTGAATGCAACCTTTCAAGAACTTTCGCCGGAGGCCCAGAAGGCGGAGCAAGAGCACTTGTTCCAGGAAGCATCAGAGTACGAAAAGGGCTGCGAGCGCCATTTCTTGAATTCAGGGAGCCGAATGAAGAAGATCAGTGCTGCCATCGCTCCAGACAAAGTGGAGACCTTCGACCGTTGTATTCATACCATGCTCTCTTCAAGCACAACCGCCGTGGAGTTCGATGATACAGTACATGAACTACGCGAGACTTTTCCACGGATCACAAAGTGGCTGGATTGGTGGCTCCGCCCTTCTGTTGCAAAGATGATATTCCCTGTACGACGCGTGATGGCGTCTGAGCTGTCGTCCGAGATGCCTGCGACATCGAACCCTGTCGAAACCCAACATTTCTTACTTCATCATGCGACCGGTTCAGATCAGGACATGATACCAGGTATCGAGAAGATATATAAGCACGTCAGTGAGCTTGAAGCACAATATAAGAGTATTCAGGGTATAGCTCTTCGTCTTCCTATTTACAGCCATGAACTGACACCCCTAATTAATACACCAGATGGCCACTATACGCCAACAGTCCGACGAAGCCCCACCAACAGAGGTGGCACCAAATATAACCCAAATGACGGACGTGCACCAGATACGTTGGAGACCCTTGGCTTCTTTGATGCTGAGATGGAACACGAGTCGCAATTGGAGGATGAGAAGTTAGCATCTCGAGCATCAGGTACATTATCCAAGGCTCTTGAGCACCGATTGGCTCAACAGTCGTATCTCTGGGTATCCCCAAATTCCTGTTTCATTGATCATGCTCTGGAATTATGGTGGCGCTGTTTCTGCCAATGGTCCCCTGCAGAGGTCGAAATATTCCTGGACAACATACCCAAAGCGAGTGCTGTTGCCTCAATATTTTACCACTTCAAACGACGCCAGACATTGCTTTCAGATCGTAGTCTGACAACAGACATTGACCTGCAGCGAGAGCTAAGTCTGGGCCAAGGTGTCCTTCTCCACACTGTCCTGGACGTTTGGAAGCTAGTAGCAAAGGACGGGCATGGATCTCCTTCGGCTTGGATGGATCATGCAGTCCAGGTAAGTCATCATTGTACACGTAAAGATCCCATTATAACAGCCATCGCAGCGTATCAGATCAGACATGTACATGGAATATTTCAAGGTTATTCACGACGTGACACGGGAGTGCCGAGGACAGCATTGGCACCTCGAAACCTTCTCCGCACCTCTTGCTCTACCGCTGACACTACGAAACCGTGAGGCTGCACGGAAAGCAATCAGTGATTGCCGCCCTGTCACACTGGGAGACTATTTTGAGCATTTTATTCCTGTTACTCAGAAGCACGTCGACCGACTCGGAGGTGTCACTTTCCTACACAATGCCTTGCCGCGCCATTGCGAGACTGAGGGCTGCCAGGAGGTTGCCATGCCCACGACAGTCCGTACCACCTGGCCAAAGATGCTCCATATTGTTCCAGAAATACGCGGACTGACTGAAGATGCTCTCAACGCTGTAGACCCTGTGAAGTTCGAAGATTATTTCCATATCTACTCGGACGACGGTAGTAACGAGTCCATTGACTACGAGCTCGTTGGTCGCGTGCTCCATGACCCCCGCAAGCAACACTTCATAGCCCAGACATTGTTCCAGGGCTCCATGTATCAATATGATGATATGCACCACAAAGGCCAATGGGTTTCGGTACGACCAAGCGAGAGCATTCTGTCGCCCGATACCAACATTGCTTTCTATGTCTATCACCGCACGTCAATTCTCAGAGTACGTGTCATGTCTTCATTTCATGCGATGTTTCAATACGTAAGTGCCTAACAAATTCCGCTTCTGTAGGAGACAGTGCAGCGCATCGGAGACATCAAGTCTCGCTTTGATTCTGTATCAAGTCTCTTTCCGAAGCAGGTCCTGAATCTTACATCCGGATCAGCAGATGGTCCGACATTGTCTGCAACAGCTCACCAGAGCCGTGAAGTCACCCCGGTGGAAATACCAGGTGCCAATGTCTTGACTCCCACCTATTCGACAGCCTCGTCATCATCCGCATCTATAGTAGATTGTGTCGTATGTGTCTATCCCAGAATGCGACATCAGGAGTCTGCCGAGATGGTCAAATGTAGCAACTGTCAGCGCTGGATGCATGTGAACTGCGTTGACATGGCAGATGCTTTGACGGAAGAATATAACCTGGCGGATAGTCCATGGTACTGTCCGGACTGTCTTACATCCTTGATCTGGAGGGAGACATTGTACGTAGTGGTCTCAAGTCGCTCTGATACCTGCAGCTGATGTATCTGCTATTTGACACAGCGTCGGTGAAAGCATTCTCTGGCCCTTCAGAGAGGAAGGACATGTGAAGTATTACCCGGTCACAATTCTTGGACGGGATGATGACTTCGTTGAGCTCGAATGGAGCAAATGTAATGTATATGCACCCGGAGGCCCACCTCCGCAACAACGTTTTCAGGCACCGGAAGAAATAGTCGTAAATATGATTGTTCATAAAGGGGCCCAGAGTTTCACCGAGGTGAGTCTAATGACTTTGTCAACGCAACAACGATACAGAGTTTCATGCATGATATACCATAGATTGGGACTATAGAATGGCCGATATGGCTTTGCAAGGACGCAGGAGCATTGCATGGTTACACAAACTCCCGCATTGAAGCAGCGCTGGAAGACGCCTACGAATCTGTGGTCGATGTTCTAACTGGCGCTCGTCAACACCCAGTCATGGACCTTCTGGAGCGGTGGATGGCCAGACATAAGGGCGGGGACAAGACTCGCGCCGGAGGATTGTTTCACCTCGGAAGAGAGGAGAACTGGGATGACAAAGGCAAACGAGACGTCCACATACCAGTGACGCTAGGTGATCAATCCCTGATCGAGCCCTTCCTAGTGAGGGCTTGGAAAGAACTACTGGGGCGAGATATCTCACATTGGAAGCCCGACAGGGACGGGCAACACTCAGAACGGCACGCGCGGAAAGAACGAGACCAATCGTCGTATTCGAGCAGGTGGGGGAAAACGGAACTAGGGTACATAACTGGGGAGCGTCGACTTATAAGTCGGACGCGACAACATGATAATATCACAGAAGAATAAATGAAATAGAGTCTTGACAGAAATGTAGCTTATATTCGAAGTCGAGTGAAGTCGTGACAGAAATGGAAGTGTCGAGTCCTTATTAGGAAGCGCTGTGGCTGAAAGTTTGGGACGCGCGCCGGAGTAATCCGCGGGATTACACCCTTCCCCATTGTCAAGAACTTGCGACGGGCGAAGGAGATTGCGAAGCTTCAGGATGGCTCTTGAGCCAGTTGTCGAGCGCCGTAGATTGTTCGAGTTCGCGTCTTGGTAACCAGATGTCGTCTGCTTCATCATAACCGGCCCATCGAACAAGGTACTGCCACCCTCGACCACGCCGGCGTTGATCAATGA